CATCCTTGAGAATGATAAGTGAATGAAAAAATCGTTATACTAATGCTCCAAAAAATATTAAATTGTCCTTGTTACTTGATAAAAATTGTGTATTTACATCTTTATACTTACAAGCACTAAGAACAGAAGTGATACCAGGTTTGCAATCATGACAGGTGGGTAAATTCGAGAAAGAAGGAGACTAAATATCCCATATTTATTAACGTCTGGCTGATATTCCAATATAATCTGCTGCACTGCAAGATTTGTACGCAAATTATTATAATTGTATTATAATATTCGCCTTTTACAAATATTGAGGTTATAACTATGGTATAATAGCAAATCGGAATACCGGAAATCAATAGCTTTTTTATTCGCTACCTTTTATGAGTTGACTATTTTGGAGAATCTCGTAGATAAGCCATTAAGTACACTGATAACCGCGCAGACTGTTTCGGTCGTTCCGAATTATCATAATTATATTATAACGGCACTCTCTGCTAGTCAATTTCACTGACGAGCTAGCTGTTACGACTGACATAAAAAGCCCCCCCCCCCCCCCCTGCTTTACGGAGCAATAGCTCACTTTCAGTAGGATATTGCATATTGACAGTCTATGGATAATATGCAGTAGCATATTGACAAAATGTGGTTCCAATACAGCTATCGGAACGGTGGACGGTAGAAATGGAGTGGTTCTCCAGTAAGTTTCTCCGAGGGTTATGCCCAACTTACGGTTGACCTGTAACCAAGCGAGGCTTCTCTGAGTGGACTTGATGTGCGAGAATACGAGGGAGAAAAAGCATAAATATTTCTTGCAAACATTCCTGGTCCGTAGGTCGTAGCAGCGGCGAATTATCATCAGGAATCGTCCTCTCCGAGCAAGACTATATTGAATAGTCCAGTAGGGACTTAGCATTCTGCCTATATATTTAGTCTAGCATCCTTTTCCTTCGAGACAAGTCGCCTAGACGTAGATTTGCTGGTTTAATCGACAGGACCACTACGTAAATTAACTAAGCTGAAAGGTCTAATATTGTACTAGAGATTTAGTTTTAATTCTACCAACTTGTCCTACACTAGAATTATTCACCCTGCAGATATATTGCCAGCGTTTACATCTGGGACAATTGAACAGTGATTCCGATAGGTACACATATCTATTAAAAATATTCTATTACTTCCCACTGGCTTTATTATTTATTCCTACGCTTGAATCTTACTGTATAAAGAGGATAAATAATGTAAATAACTAATAAGCGCACACTTATGTTATTTAGCGAATAAGGATTAGTGCACACGGATGTTAACAAAGAAGATTCACCAGACTTTTGATAGTCGAAGGTTTAAAATATACAACGGAAGGAAACAATCCGGAAAAAATGTATTCAGAATACGCTAAGTTTTGACAAAAGATGGTACCGGCCGTTCAAAATAATAACCAAACTTGAAGGCTATGTAAAGTATATTATGAAAATGAACTTCCAAGTGAATCGTAAGAGACATTTTGAGGCAATGGAAGTATCGTAAGGATGTTAAAAGAAACAGAGTAACGGGTTGATTGTAATGGAAGAAGTATTACAGCGTAATGGCATAACCAGAATATTGTCATAAGGTATCTTTTTCGTATATTCTCGCAAGGACAATAGTGAACCAAAGTAATTGAAAAGGCAAAGTTAAATAAAATAACTATGAAGAAGCTAACGGGATAACTAAAGACGAAAATAATATAGTCAATAAGCTATAACATCGTAATAGCAAAGCTGCAAAGACATAAATGCAATAATAGCAGAGCAACCAATTCTACTTTTATTGCGACTTGAACGAGCTAAATTAAATATACAATAAAATTGACGCTTTGTTATTATTCTGTCGGTAACGCATCCATTTGGTATTCGTTAATAATTCCTAATCTTTACAAGAGCAAGGATCGTCAAACAAATGACGGAAGCCATAAATTGCGTATCTAGACACAATGTGTTAAACCAAATTTCATTTATTTACTTTTCCTTAATACATATATAGACTTAATATATAAGACTTAATATATAGGTGAACAATACAACTTCCCAATTCTAAATATAATATAGAGAACTACTTAAGACACCTTGCATCATACTGGTTACACGATTCTTGTTGAGTTTACAACACTAATTCAAGAGATTTACCAGATGATACCAGGGAAAGGCAAGCGGTATGGTGTCTATCACAATTTACTTATATTTAGCTACGTATATCGTCAGACTCGTCGTAACCAGGTTTCATGACATGTGACAAAATGATCCACCAATTTTCTAAGCATGCTTCTCGCAGAGTCATATCTACGTGTACTCATGTTGAAACTTTTGCACTTATTCTGAGACTACATGTGAATGATATTGTAAAGACCAGAATATACGGCTAGGCGACTCTTTCTCCTTCTCTAAGTTTTGTTGTTTGACGGTCCAAATATATTCTGTTTAGCTAAATTTATATCTGCCATCTAGGCAAAGATATTACGCCATCATAAAAGCACTAGTGCGGCACAAAGCCGAATGTTTTAGTTATCTGACGTGAGACGTAGCGTTATGCTGGAGCCTACTTTATTTGTGGTCAAGTATTCCCCGAGGGGGAATTGTAAGCGATACTAATTTCAAAAAATGACCTACTGATTTCTAAAAAAAGGCTGTTTGAATCTTCCTTTTTTGAATCATATATACAGTAAAATGGTAAACCTAATGCAGGATCCGGTAGCCACAAGCATGTTATCGAAATTAAAATTACTTGATATAGATTTTATTATTGAACCTCTCTGTCTCCCTTTATCGGAAAAAATATAGAACGCTCTAGTGCTATGTTTAACGTATATTATTAATTCTGAACTAACGATATATTAGTGCGATTCTGTAAGTGTAAGGTACTTATTCAATAGGAACGTCTGTGGTAGGTCTAATATACGCATTTTGTCGTGTTAGTTTTGCTCATGCAAGCCACGTTTTACTCCGGTTCGTTTAGACTATTAAACGTCAGCAGCAAAACTTAGATCCGAAGCCATGGTACAACTCTTCCCCACACGGAAGATTGTAAGCAACTTGTTGCTATTAAATCCGTCAGTTTTTATCTGACGTTTACCGGCAAAAAAGAGCTTCAATGATACATGTATTTTAATTTATAAAAATAAATTGTATATTCTGACTAAACAAGTTTATGCGTTGTGAGCTGCTTCTTCTATAAAACTATATGTGAAGCACTGAAAGAGAAATTTCGTTGGAAAACCTAGACAATAGTTGAGAATTGAAAAAGTCTGTATCTAAGAGTTGCTTTGTTTCAAGTTTAACATAACAGATATACAGCTAATTAAAACAATTTTTTTAGGTTATTGGTTATATACCTTTTACGAATGAATGGTGTACAGAGCTGAAATGTCTCAGCACCAATGTCCCCGCTCAATTTCTCTTGGTTGTGGCACAGCGGAAACAAATTGGAACTAAGGAGCGCAACACGTACGGAACGGGGGTATCTGCAATAGGATAACAAGCATCTGAGTTTAGGTCTGGTCGGAATCGAGGTTAATGAATTAAGACGATTAATGAAACGAAGGTAAAAGAAGTGACATTTCTGTGGGTAGAGGAAAAATAGTTTAACTTTGTATCGCAAATATAGAAGCAGAACAGAATATTCGAAAAAGAGAAATTAGATAAACAAACGATCAAAATGAAAGAAAGGGGTAACGACAACTGATATTTGCAGCCGATTGGACAGCCAGGCTACGGTATAGCTGAGTTTATTGACCAAATTTAGATCAGTTTATTATTATCGTGGCCGAATTTATCTTACTAAGAGAAATTGCAAAGGTGGAAGTTGACTATGTTATAGTAAAAAAAATGAAACCAGGTTCATATAAAAATGTATATTTGTCAGTATCTGACAGTTAGAAGGTTTCAATTGGACAATCCTCAGTCAGGGGTGCTTCACAGTTTCCGACCATTAAGATTCTTGGAAAAGCTACGAACGGCATGTTGTGCGATTTATCTCTCTGTCTCGTACCTGCATATCCTTAGCGTATGTGTATTTTTATCCAGCTAACATCTGAGGCATTTTTTATTTCTGACTTACCCCATTTCACAAGGGCCGCCCGTCAACAGATTTGTGATTTGTACACAGATTCCTATCTGCGGACGTCTTTATTTTTGTGATAAAAGTTTTGTGTAAAGATAACAAAAAAAAGCCTATGATGTTTAACAATTTTACTCAAAACGAATTAAGGCTGTTCGTATTTGTGCCTAACCATTCTTGCAATTTTTTTTATCTGGTGTGCCCCAAGGAAAAGCACAGCTGTGAAAATAACATGGCTGGCAATGAACTGTTTTATGCCAAAAATCCCCTATATATTAAAACATGCATGTTAGTACATAGTCCTGACTGCATAATAGCATCAGTCATCACGTGCACTGTACATGTTATTTACCATTCTACAAAACACTAATTTTCACAGGTTTAAATAGGAGAACGACAAAAGGGTTATAGGGAAATTTTTAGAATAAAGTAATGAACTAACAGATTGATTACAGCAGTGGGGTCACAGGAGCCAAATCGGCTTGAAGTCTAGCTATAGTACAGGTTGGGCCCAATATCAGTTATTCAAATCTGTTAATTAAGGAAAAAGTGTATCACATGTACTTGCTACTTTATATTTTTCGTACATAATCCAGTCAAATTTTTTCACCCTTTTTCATGTTTCTAAACCAATTTACATATTCTGTCTGATGGACGTCCAACATTTGAAGTATTTTGAGTTATAAGAAGCACGAAAGATGGAGTCTTGTTCTATCCAAGCAAAGATAATACTTTAGCACGGTTTCTAATTTTTGTGTTGAATAATGAATACAAGCTCAACGCACAGTATTCATTCGTAACATAATTGTATAAATTCATTTTCAATGTTTTGTAATGTATTGAGAGACTCCTGAGAAACAGTGACATCTGGAACATAACAAAAATAGATGTAACTCTTACTACGCCTTTGTATGATTTTACAGGTGTGACTTCTGCGGTAAGATGGAAAGCTCATTAAGCTGTCAGCCAATACGAAATTCGGCCGTTCGTTGTATTTTAGTGGTCACGATAAAGCAAATTCATTAGCCAATAGGAGGTTCAAATACCTCTACAAAAGCCACAGAAAAATCGAAAAATTTTTCTAGTCGTGTTTAATCTGCAAAAACAATATTTGATTGGATCCATTGGTTATCAGAGCCATATTTTTTGTAAGAACCACTAATTAAAACTATTTTAAACGCCTATTTTTCTAAAACTAACAAAAAACCCACTTTTTATTTTTTTAGAAAAAAAATGTGACAGTTTTTAAGCTAGAAATATAAATATAAATACAAAGCGTCAAAAATAAGCGGCAACTTAAAAACCCTGGTCGATTTGTTCAAATACGATGTCACATATTTGCTACTGTGATGGAGCAATGCAAGACTCAAGACAACTTTTATTAATTACCCAATTCTGATTTTTTTTGTTTATTATTGTCGAAAATTTAGGAAGCAACATTGATCGAATAGTATTCGCATCCGTACCATTGTAATACTGCTTTTGTTACCTTAAAATGACTTGTTTACTTGTCTTAATTCCATTAATCCATTCTTGGAGGGTCCGATCCAATAAGCACTTTAAAAAATGATTCTTCTCAGTTTTATAAATTATAAATAAGATTGACTGCTATAGCTCAGGCACACGCATTAGTAATTGCTAGTGTTAACAAAAAATAGACTTCCAATTTATACATTTTCAATTATGGGGCTTTACGGAGAGACAGGTTGTAAAATGATCACGACACATTGATCGAATAGTTGCTGATTTTGATATAAATTGGCTAAGAGTGATTAATACAAAGGATTATAAAGAGTTATAAGTCGTATCTGTTTGCTACTGTTTATCGGACACCAAAATATGCGTTTTTTTTTCAATTTTTACCTTGCACAGGTATAAGAAATAACGGAGGATACTGAAGAAATGCGTATCCCTTTTCTGAGGATGATATTTAAAATTAAGTAGGAACACAAGCCCATACATACTATTATTCGTATTATAATTTAATTTGAATTTATCGTCTTTATTTAGCTAACTAGTATCTCAATACTCTTCTCTAACCGCAGTTACAGATTTACTTTCTGCGAGAGCTTTCAACAGTATCGATCGCCACAGCTTACTGAGACAGGTTCTCTTCCTTTCAGGCGGACTCGACTGCAAGGAAGAACGATGAATAAATGGATCGATTTCACCGCCTGAGAGAAGAAATTAGAGTTTAATTACAGAAGCGTAAACAGCGTACAAGCAGACACAGCCTCGTGTGATAGAACTACAACGCTACTGTACCGTAGAATTGTGGCTCGCGTGGAGTCAGGACTTATGAAAACAGTCACTGCATCATAAAACGGTATTGTACTCATTTACTCAGTTTGACTTCCTTATTAGCTTAACCATTTTTAAACTAGAACGATAAGTAAGTGAAAGATGCATTTTTCAGAACTACATCATTTACTGCAATTATTTTTTTCTTGATCAACCTTATGTGCATAATATGGTCGATCACTAAAAGAATGAGTTTCTAACCAACAGTAGTGCAGCATTTTTAGTTTTAACACTAAACAACAAAAGTACTCCCTTAATTGGAAACAAGCAAAAAATAGTAGTAGAGAATCACGATTACTGTGTATGCATAATCGGAACTATATTCTATATTGATATTATTTAAAGTGTATTATCAGGTCACGTGCACAACATACATAGGGCAGAAACATTGTTAATTGCACATAGCTAGCAATTGTATGTTATTTTCTTTTTCGATTAATTAGAAACTGACCCGCCATGTTTGATTTTTCATTTTTGTGAAATAGTCCTATTTCTGCCTTGTCGAGGACACATTCACCAACCGTGACCCTTAGCGGTCCCCCTGGCAATTCTACATCTGGCACCTTCTCTGTGGTATAAATCGTTGCTGTCTCCTGGCAGTTGCATCACAATACTTTTTTTTTAAGTAGTCACCCCATATTACAGAACAGTATCAATAGTCGCCACGTAACTATACTATCACACAAAAAGACTATCACAGGAAAACAACATTAAATTCTTCTCAAGCAGTTTACCAAAGCCGCTACTGACAGGGACTTAGCTATAGATAAAATATAAAAATGTCAACTATGCGACAAGGGAAATAAAACATATTTGAGTAAGGTGTGCCAGGAACTAGAGATTTCAAAAGATATATTTAATGTAGACATTTATATGTTTGATTAAAAGCTGCACAAGGAAGCATTCATTAAGAGTTGCCTCGATCATTTTCGGTAACATGCCAATGTTGGGCTAAGTCAGTCTGTTCTTTCTGTTTTTCTGGCGACATGTTGTGATGAACACAATCAGCAGACGCTACAGATGGATGCATTAGCGGTGTGCCGTCTAGCAAAGCAAGAACCCGTATATTTTTTTATGTTACCGATATGCATGTATGTATTGAAAAGAATCTGTTTTGACCGTTAACTGCCGTACGGGCTTCTAACAATCATGCCGACAAATGTTACTGTAAACGTTTTAATTTGACATTACACGGTGGAACCTTTTCTTTAAAGAAGAATCAACTTAGCCTTTATTGCTACTAAAAAATCAAAGGATTGCTTTGAGAAAGGACGGAACCATTTTATCCAGTACTTTGCGTGGAATCTGCTGAATAAAATTGTATGCTAACACACGTTAGTGGAATCCTGGCAATTATTACGTGTGCGTCATGCATCACATGACAACAAACATAAGTCGGGCTGACTAGGCCTCGTCGGTCGTGTGAGTCTAACGTAACTAGCGGGACAGGCCATGAGGACTTTCGCAAACGAGCACTATTTGCCCAAATTTGAGCTACTTTCTTTAGGATTGCCTCCTGAAACGAGTTCTTCCTTGACGAAAAAACGTACGAATCCACAAGTATATATATGATTCTATTGCCTTACGAGACAGACGTCTCGTACAGTGCTTCTATTATGGATTGTTACACTTCAGTGCTTTATCGGTGATATCCAAAAAAATGCCATTCGGTTTATTTGATGTGTGCATTGTTTTAGTGATCAATCGGACGAAAATTAAATCCACCCAGTTCGGATCAACTCGCACGGAAACTATTTTTCTCTAAAATGTATATGTTTTAGAATTAACTTGTTGAGTGCAGCACTTGTTCTGGGACATGTGGAAATGTCAGTTTGAAGTGCACGATTTTACTTGAGCTTTGTAAATGTAAATAAAAACTAAAAAAGTCAAGTAGGATAATTTTTGATGATGTATTTTTACATTTTTGCATTTCATGGACTGTCAGCTGATATAAAGAAACAATTTTACAATATATACGTGTTCTCATTGTAATTTGCCAGTCCTTTTATTTTTTCAGTTTTGTATTCTACATTTACATTTACAAAAAGCGGTTCCTAGAACTTGAACTCACCTTTTATCATATATCTATAAATCCATCTGAAGCTTCTCTAGTTAATAGTTCTGGTGAGTTATATTGGTTCAACCAACGTATGGAGGTCCATAGTCTATTGAAACGAAGTCCATGACTCTGAGTCCAAGTGCGTACAGCTCGCGGTGAGAGTTGTAACGAATTCGAAGCCGGGGGTTGGCCAAAAAAATATATTGAATAGACAGAATAATAAAAATGACGCTAAGGAACTCTTACAATAGATTGTAGAGAATGCTACAATGTGTATTCAGCTTCCTTTAACTATTATAGGTCAAATAACGTATAATTTGCAGTAAATACGAAATTATAGTCTCACTCTAACTGTTTATTTTATATTGATCTGACGTACGTTTTCAAGAAGACTTGGGTGCATCGGATGCCTGTACCTTAAAAATGCCCTGTATTGGGCACCCTTTTGTGTAGCTGAATGTCATGTGTAGTAAATTAAATCGTGTATGTTTTAACTGCTTTCACATAAAAATGAGCTTACTTAGTAAGCTTATATGTTAGAACCAATGTGAAGGTTCACTAGTAAAACCTTCAGTTCATCAATTGGTTCAATTAAATATCACATTTACCATACCATCATTTGTTATACTTTTATGTGAATAAAATAATAGTATATATGTAGAAATATTAACGCAGTCTCGTCGCGATATAGATTAACACCAGAAGAACAGATATCACATTGTTTACTATTTATCCTGTATGGATCTTAACAAACGTGTATGTATGTATGCAGTACTTTAAATTGGAGCCATCACAGAAAAAATGCAGGTTCTGATTAGCAAATCTCGTTGCTTTCGACACGCTTTCGAAAGCAATAAGTACAGTCACAGAATAATACACGTTCTGAAACGAACTTCGCGCTTCTTGGGTAGATCGGAAGCTTTTAAAGTTTCTTTAGTTCGCTACAAACCCCTAGAAAAAATACTCAATATACAGTAAATGAAAAATTATGATCTCACCTTAACTATTTATTTTATATTTATGTAATGCAGTTAATGGCATTAATTAATAAATTTCTCAGAATAGCTCACAATAGTAAAACTCCAACCAGTTCTGAATAAATTGAAAGTAAAGATTTTCAAAGGTCATCCTTAATTTACACTAAATCCATTTAGATTCGTATTTGTACAAAAGCAATTTAGACATTTTGTACAATCGATGTTGAAGATCGAAGGCAGACTATTTTTTTTTTTTTTACTTAATCAACGACTTTGTCTTAGAGTTACAGATTAAGCTTAAGGAATTGATTCTTGTTATTTGCTGCGAATCAAATGCACGCATTAACGGTAGCATCTCGGTTGAAGCTTTACAAAATATTTGGGAACCACTGGGTAGGTACCTTTTTACTGACTATTTAATTTAATATTATTAAATGCTCTCGAAATCGATAGATACTGAAGATGTTGAAAAAATTGATTGGCGCAAACATGCAACATCGTGCAAGCAGACCACAAACAAGTGGAATAGTAATCCAAAAAGAACAAACTGAAGCAATTGATTTACATATAGGTGTAGAAATAGAAAAACATTCGACAACATAAGCATGTGTAATAGTAACATGAGTTGACAAGAAGGATGAGGATCAGTAACAAAAACTCAACTAATGAAGACCTATTATTCTTCTGCTAGTAAGTGTCCCCAACCTGCGACGATCGTGGAGCTTGATACGTCTTTTTACGACCGTACGGATTCACAATACGAATAAAGGGCTCCTGCAAGGAGCACCTGCGAATTAGCAGCCTGTACAGAAACAATAATACGAGGGAGTTCAACAGCAGACACAACACAAACAAGATCAATGCCAATATTGCTAAGGTATTATTAAAACAATGGAGACCATGAAGCAATCGAGCCTTATGTAAATAAAGCAGGTAAAATGATTTTTGGTTTGGGTTTAATTTATTATTGTAAAAGCCTTGAGTTTCGATCTGCTTTACAACAGATAAAGAATAAACCGTTCCGAAGGAAATTTTTGAGGCGCGAATGAACACATTTTTTGATTAATGATATTGTTCAGTCCCGCTAAGTATTAAATGTTCGGATTACAATGACACGAGCTATCGCGTAAAATTACTAATAAAAGACTCTTTTTTCTCTAAGCATGTATAAATATGTAGTCCAGACTACAGGATCCATATCAAATGACTGGTGAGCTATTTGCCTACCTGTCCATCTCGCGTTTATTTCAATAAAAATAGGCGCTACAGTTTATATAAGTTTGTATTTTTGTCATATAACGGCTCTGCTTATACTACAAATCATGAATATGGTTCCTTCCAAAAAAGAATTGCATGGAAACGAGATCTGTTAAGATATAATACTTAAAAAAGTTCCCCAGCTTTATTTCTCAGCAATACTTTATAATTACATTTTTAAGAATTTTCAATTTCCTGCTTTACACGATGCTATACATTATTAGCTGATCATGAAATCGATTTCTTTTTAAACCCTTCTTGACAATAAAAATCTTTTGGATATATCTTTTTGAATTAATTACAGGCAGCCGGACGAGATTTAAGAGTTTTAGACAATGGCTACATGATAGATGAAAGAAAAGCTGCTAATTTTAGAATCTTAGATAATACGAAAAAAAATATGAATTCCCTTGTGGAAAAAGCAGCCTGTTGCGCAAAAATTATAAAAAAAAACTTAATAGCTAAACCTCAATAATAAGCCGGCCTCAAAATTAGCGAAAACGAAAGTTAAAAAAGAAATCACTGATCTGCGCTTGCTTTAACTTATCTTAAACTTGTCTTAGTAATACCATTACACACTGCTGAAAATGCATAAAAATTATATATAATACCTTAGTTTATTACTAACTAAGCAAAGCTTGCTTATTAAATTTAGCTGTATCATTTAATAATGACTGTTCCGATTTATATATGCTACAATTAGGCCTCGTCTTAAGATAGAGGCATTAGATA